GGGCCTCTTGTTTTAAACATATTCAGGTGAGCGATACAGGCCCTCGGATCTCGTCCTCTTGTTTGCATTTACTCATTGAACGATTTTATAGGTTAACCAATGGTTTCCCATTGTACTTCCTATATTCCGAAAATACAAGTACAAATGAGAAAATACATACAAGTGATAGAGGAATGCCATTGAAAGAGAAACCATTGGAATTGCTTATGTTTCCTGTAAGATTAGATTACTTGTGAACGGTCAGAAATAAATTGTCTTAATGTTTGATAAGACATCGCTATCGTATGTCAACCTGGTATGATGATGCTACAATCAATTTTTTGAAGATTACACATATTTTTGTGCTTCACTGCAGAAAAGACATTACTTTTAACATACTGATGATTCCTCCTTTTTACTGGTAAATATGTAATTAAACTACGATTGTTTTGACAGGATGGCCCCGGAGGTAATCATGTGCGAGACGCTGAAGGACAGTCCTTACAACACGCAGGCTGACATTTGGTCTCTTGGTCAGTATACCTCGTAAATGTCATACAAATAATTATAAATTTAAGGATTACTACAGCTGAAAAGCATCTGGAGAAAATCATCTCTCAAAAGGGAAAAAATGGTTAAATGATAGTTTAACTGCAAGTAACCAAATAAAACCGGCATTATGATAATAGCTATGGTGCTGTGCAACCCCATGAACTAAAACCAGTTTAATGGTTGTAGAAACCTGGTATTGAACCAATCTGAAGTTAGGCTGGGATTGTCAGGTATAGGTCAGATTAATCGGGATGCACACAATATGGTAGGACAGCTTGGCTGTTAGTCAGCGTGTTGCCAATAGTGATGATGTATGTAGGTAACAGATATAGATTGATACAGATTTTCATTGTTTAATAAGATATAAAACCATTCAACAATTCATGCATATATCCGTGTACTGGAACTGGAATTGACATTAAAGCGAGAAACTGTTTATGAGGCTTTTTTTGTAATCATGAATATATGGGTTAAGGTAGTTTCCTATTGTCAAGGGAGGTAATTCTAACACAAATCGCAGTTATAATGCATAAGATAGCTTACATCCTTCAGGGATGTAACCAGTATGCACATTACTGTTATCATGTTTAATGTAGCCTATATCCAAGGGAGATAACTCTAACATATAACATGTCTAACATAAATTAAGGTATAAAACTCAAATCACAGTTATAATGTGTAATGTAACTTTTGTAATAAAGGGAGATAACTCTAACACAAGTCACAGGTTTCAGTTATAAGCTAATGTATATCGCTAAAACCTATTGTTTGTGTTCATTTATAGGTGTAACTCTGATTGAGTTTGCCCAGATGGAGCCTCCTAATCATGACATGCACCCTATGAGAGTCCTTATCAAAATACAGAAGTCAGACCCTCCTCAACTTTCCAAACCATCGCGATGGTAAGAACTTACACCCAGACTGGTCTCCAGATGATAGGAATACACATTTGTATATTAATCAGAAGTTTCTGAAATAGAATAGGGGCTTTTATTATTATTTTTTATTAAGATAGGACTTATCACACAATTGATTGCAATTAATCATTTGTGAAATTCTGTAATAGATAAATTGGTTGTAATAGATAAATTGGTTGAAATTATTGCTTGTTGTTTTCTATAAATTTGTATTGATCTTCTATATAAATAATGATACTTGAGCAATAGTTTAGAGGCAAATTCGCCCTTTATTGATTTCTGGTCAGCTAAATTTAAACTTTTAAGATGAAAATGTAAAAAAAAAACCAGTTAAATTTATAATATCAGCTCCAAATTACATTTCAAATCCCGATACGAAACAGTTTAATTATAAACATCGTTATTACAGTGTTTTATGTCAAATGAATTCACAAAAGTTTTAGATATTTCAATTACGATTGATAATCATGCATGAAAGGTCTTCTAATAATGATGTAAGATTTCTTTTATGATTTCCAACACCAATAAAAAAATCAAATTAAAATTGAAAATTGTTTATTAAAAAAATGAATATTAGAAAACAATGATTGTATTTGATGTGATATATTCATAATGATCTGTCACCAAAATTAAATAGTGTGAGAGTGGGTAAATGGTCTATTTATCATCGCCAATCTCCACCCATAGCAATTGTAGTGCTACATAATATAGGATCATCAACAAAACAAAAAATTCAATGCAGGTCCAAAGACTTCAAGGATTTTGTGAACCTGTGTTTGGTGAAGAGTCCAGATCTGAGACCCACAGCTGAGGAACTGTTGATGGTAATATATAAATGTTAAATACACACAATGTATGTTACTGGTTAGGTTATTGTGTGCCATACATCTTCAACCTTGTTATGTGCGGACGAAACCTGCATGAAAAATTATCTTACTTTGGAATTTGTGTTTCTTTGTTATGTATCAAATTAGTCATGCAAGGAATCGGTTTATGTTGATTGGATGATTAAGGTTAAATTCCAGTGAAATGTCTTGGTGATTTTCTCTGTCATAGTTACCTCCCTTGTATGGTTTCATCGTAACCTCCCCTGCGTAGGTATAGCAGTGAGATTCTCATGGTAACTTCTTCAGGAATTTCATAGTTACCTCCCCTGATTCGTTTTCATAAGAAATTCCCATGTGATTTCAGCATCCATTCATCCGCGACTACACGGACAAATCTGACCTTGTTGACCTCATCCTGGAGGCTAAGGCAGAGGTCGTAGAAGTCATTGAGGACTTGGGAGAGGATGAGGACATAATGCAAATGAAGGTTTGTGTATAGATTGTCATGACAACCAGCCAAAACATGCTGTTAACTCTATCAACTAGTTTTAAAGCACCTCAATGTTTCGAACATTATAATGCAGTAATAAAGTTTTGAAATTTCTGTTGATACGTCTGTACACTATAAATCACTTTACACAAGTAAGTATATACTGATCTAGTGTTCAGTGTGAGTCCGTTTAGTATCTACTAAAAGTACTTACAAATTAAAGTATCTTGTATGTATTTGCATAATATTTGCTGAATATCTTATGAGTATTAGTGTCTAATGAGCATAATCTGATGAGTATCCACTTAATATTTGTTGAAAATCCACCAAGTATTTACTGAGAATCTTAGTATTTGCTGGGTATCTACTGAGTATCTTAGTATTTGCTTGGTATTTCCTGAGTATCTTCTTAGTATTTGCTGAATATCTTAGCATTTTCTGGGTAGTTACTGAGTATCTTATATTAATAATATTTGCTGGGTATTTGCTAAGTATCTTCTGAGTATTTGCTGAGTACCTTTGAGTATTTGCTGAGTATCTTATGAGTATCTTACTGACACCCTTCGTACTCCTGGCATTAATCATCCAGTTTTAATTATATTCAGCCTTTCCTCAATAAATATCAAAGAGATGTATTTAATATATAGATTTATGAAAAATATGTATATTATTTTGTTATCTTTTCTACACAGAAACACATGAGTGATGCCTCGTCTATATCCGACCTTGATAATGTTTCTGTCAGCGGAGACAGCGACAAAAAATCTCCGACTCCAGAACGTGTGGTGGTTCCAGGAAAGGTAGAGCAGCTGTAACATAAATATTATATATCAGAACTATTAAACCACACACCTGTGACAATAATTGTTACAAAAACTGAAATGAAATTTCAGTTAATGATGCGTATAAACTTGATATGTGACCAATTATGACATACATATTTAATGATAAACCCTATCTTACAAATTATAACAAATACTAACATATAAATGCTAACAAATGATGATGCATATGAGTCAATTACAAATATTATATTAAAACGTACATCTGACGAATTGTAACAAATGCTAGCGCATATATTGAAATAACACTAGGGAATACATTTCTATGAATCTACTCTTAATCATTACGACTTTTTGATGATATTAGGACCTGTTTTGATAGATCTAGGGATGTTCTGTAAGAATAACAGACGTTCCGTTATACTACAAGAAGTTCTGTTGTATTCACAGGTTAGAACTTATTTACCTGTGGGCACCAAGCCAAATTTTAGTTAGCAGCGGATCTCGATTGCTCGCCGGCACTTTTCTCGCTGCGACGGTCGCGCTGCCTGTAACATGTACATTTAGGAGGGTTGGTGATAAAACAGTTGATGTTATGGTTTGCATGT